TTCACACACATCATGCATAAAGTCACGCCAGACTTTCATAATGCAGTGGACTGAGATGGGAATTGCTTTTCAAGTTCCTCCACTAAGCTGTTCAAATTGCCATTCTGTTGGTTGTGCTCAGCAACTTCAGCTACAGTTTCAATATTTGTCATTGGCTTTGACTTGTCTATGTCCTTAGACAGAATGTAATTTTTATTCATCTGACCATACATATTGGCCACTGATTTTTCAATGTCTTCTAAGTTCTGGATATTTTTAAGGATCCCCTTCAGTTGTCTGCGAGAAGAGTCAAGAGGCTGTGACACACAAGCCTGTGATGACACCATGTTTTGCTTGGAGGCTGATCTAGTACATTTTGTAACATGTAAGAGTTGGGTGCTTTGAGTGGGTGAGGAAGACAGGGAAAGCCTTTGAGAGGCAGGGAAGGGAGGTGATAATGAGGGAAAAGGAAGTAGCGAAAGGGATGGAGAAGGAGGTGGAAGTGGAAGTGGGAGACGAGGTTTTGGTGGCTCTCGAATGCTTTTCATTTCATCTACAGGCATTTTGATCTTAAAAGGGGGAGGAGTTGGCTTATGGCTTGGTGGAGGGGATAACTGTTCAGGAATGTCTTGATGAATGATGGTAATGGATGGTGCTGTTGATGTTCTGAGTTCAGTCACCTCAGAACATGCTCGGAAGGAAGAAAAAGAAAGTGGAGGATGGTCTGGAGATGGAAGGAAACATTCAGAAGTTGGCTCTACCATTCTCTCTTCATCCTCAGCACAGCTGCTGCTTGTCAGTGAATGTACACTTTTCTTCTCTTGGCATTTCACTTGTTTCATTTCCTGCAGAGCCTGTTGCTCAAACCGCCTTGCTTTCTCTTTAACTGATGTCTTTGTGCCAGTGTTGGTCCTAAAGACTGGACTGCTACTGTCAAAACTTTTTTGTTGGATTCTAACTCTTTCATTCTTTACTCTGTTTCTCTCCTGGTCCCACTGAATTGGGTCCATAATGACCAAAATATATTCCCTGGTAAACTGAGTTGGTAATGTCCATGCCCGCTGAATGTCTCTCAAAGGGCCCCTCAACAGAATGTTTTTCAAAGCTGACCTTCTAGGGGAAAAATGGGGTACAACATATTTTCTTTTAGGTAAGAACTCAGAAGTGGAACTTGGCAATGCACCTTCAACGTACAGAGGATTTTGAATAGTTAAGGGTGTCTCATCAGATAAAAATGTAATATTACTTGCAGATTTGGGAAGATTATTATTCAGTATTCCTCTGATATCAGACTGCTTGTGGGCCTCAATTGCACGAGAAGCAAAGTTGCTAATAGCTCTCTGACGGTCTCTTCCTTCTAACAATATATTTTTTCTCCTGCTTTGTTGAAAATGACAGAGAAGAAAAAGACTTGAAAGAAAAGAAAATAATCACAAGTAAGAAAGCATGCATGAGAAAAACAACATGAACGCAGTGAATATGAAACAGAAAGTGAATACAAAGTCTATGTTCTTCTAAGGTTATCTAAGAATCTAGATCTAGTATATTTAATCTATATGTAATTAAATTACTAAACCAAAGCAAGTTGTTTTACTACTTCGCCAAGGGAAGGGGATACAATAAGCAAAATAAATTATTATAAGATGTAAGTCTGCAATCCACATTTGAAATAGGGTCAGATTTCTCTATCTAGTAACTATTTGTAGCTAATATCGCTGGAGGGACAAAGCATTACAGAAAATACATTTTTGGTGGTATCCCAATTGCACTTGTACTTTTCATAGAATCATAGAGGTGGAAGAGACCTCAGTCACTTGGTCCAAACCCATGCTCAGTGCCAAGATCTGCTAAAGCATTTCAGACAGATGGTTAACCATCTGTTTGAAGACCTTCAGTAAGGGAAATATGACAACTATTAGATAGGTGAAGACTGGAAAAAAAACCCTTTCCCCTCAAGCTTCTCTTCTGGAGGTTAAACATACCTAATCCCTTTTTAACAGTTCCTCCTAGGATTTGATTTCTAGTCCCCTCACCATCTTGGCAGCCCTCCTCTGCATTCACTCCAGTTTGTCATTTCTCTTTTAAATGCAGTACCCTAAACTGGACTCAGTATTCCACGTAAGGCCTGATCAAGAGTGAGACTTCCCATGATCTGGATCCATCGTCCTGTTAATATTGTCTAAACTGGCATTTGCACTTTTGACTCATGTTTGACTTGTGATCCACTAGAAGACCCAATCCTTGTCACATGTACTACTGCTTGCTAAGTTAGCTGTCCCCAATCCTATACATGCTCCTTTCACTTTTTATCACCAGTTGTGGCTCTTTTTATTTCTCCCCATTAATTTTATCCTGTTTGTTTAATCCCATTTTTCAAACCTGACTAGGCCTTTCCAAATCTTTTCTTTTTCTTCTTTTCTAACTCCTCCTCCTAGTTTTGGGTCATCTGTGAAGGCATAAAGCCTTTTTCAAATGAAAATCAGAGTCAGCCCATTAAGTAGCTTTCCTAGAACTGAAAAACATGTTTAGGGACAGTGGTTGGTCAACCATCTCTATCTTTCTTTCTCTCCCCTTCTTGTTCTGATCAGTCCCACTTTAGCATAGCCTAATTGCAGTCATGGGGAACAAAATAAGGCTATAATTGGTGATTTTGATGATTGGAAAGCTTAAATCGTTTAACTGAGATTATTCTTACTGATGTTAATGAGTCCTCTAATAAATGAAGGCTTCAGGATTGTCACTTGTTTCTGACTATTGAGAAATGCCATTAACACAAACAAGCTGAAGGGCATAGAATCTACTTGCTATAAGTTACTGATATTCAATCACACTGTTTTTAATCTTTTATATCTCGTTCCCCTTGGAAAGTAGTAAATAAAATCTAGGTACTACATACTAGAAAAATAAAATAATTGCATTTATTTAAAAAAACACACACAACTGTTTCTATTTGCTACTATATTAGCCACCACTGTGAGAGTTTACTTACTGATGCCTACATGTCCAAAGACAGAGAAATAAGAGAAAAATAAAATAAAGAATAAATGTAATTTCAAAATGTTATCAGTAGAAGTTTTGTGTAATCCATGACCCAAACAGACTTCAAGTGAAAACAGAATGAGAGTCCCAAGGAAATTAGAAAAGTAAAAGAAAAAAAATATGGCCTACAAAGCACTTATTGCTTAAGTCTGCAGGCATCATTAAATATTGGCATTCAATATTTAAAATTCATAGTGAAATACTTACTAAAATGATACAAGATGTTATTTCGCAAAAACAATGTTAAAGATTGTTTTGCTATGGTGCATTTAAGCAAGCATGATGCTTTAATCCAAAGAGTTTCTGTTTGCTTTCTTGGAGTCCAATTACTAAAAGGAGCCCCACCCATTTCTCTGGGGCAGGCTTGACCCTTAGAGCTGGATCAGTGCTCAGCTGGAAGCTCTGCTGTGAGTGCAAAGTTTTTGTACAGGTTGAAAAGACTATTCAAGTTTCCACCCAGAGTATATTCTGCCTTTTGGCTTATATTGCATACAAATGTTTGAAGGTTGCTATATGCACTCCTACTTATAGGTGGCCTTTGCACTTCTTGACACAACCTTCCAACTATCAGAAAAACTTTGCCTTCTGGACATTTTGCCAGAATTTGAAAAGAACACTGGCTTTGGGCAGAGTTGTGTGCAAATGAATGTAGGACCTAAACAAACAAACAAACAAACAAAACACCGCCCTAGATGCTTACAATGAAACAAGAATTTTTGCATAGTAGGTCATCCCAATTTTTCCCAGTTTATGCCTATACATTTTCATACATATGCACAAACATTATGCTTATTAGTCGTATCTTGCTTTAATTATGTTGAGCAAAGCCCCAAACTTCTAAATATGTATCAGAAAATTGCAGTGAAGAAAGGTAACCACAAACTATTATACAGAGGGGAGTGATATTTGTGGTTCTCCAAGGATTGGGTTCATTGGATGATTGTTAAGTCATTGGGAAAGGCAAGTTCAAGTAAACATCACCTGAGCTCTGATAACTTATATCTTGCATCTCCAGTATACTAGTTCCTTGGCTAGGCTGACAGACCAGCTTGACCTACATGCTAGCATGATTACTGCAGGTGAAGCCATAAGTCTGTTAGACTGACCAAACTTTACAAATCCTTAGGGGTGGAATCAGTTCCATATTCCAAACACCTTGGCAGGGAGAGTAATAATGCAGACCCTTGGTTTTCTATATTCTCCAGACTTCACCTTTAATTCAGTTCTGACTATATTCCTGCCTATGGTCCTTTAAATCCTCATCTTCCTTCCCCCAAATTTGCTGTGATCCTGCCTGTATCCCCTTTCTTTTCCACTGATCTCCCTTTGGTCTTGACTCACAGCATCCAGAGCCCAACCTCGCTAAGGCCTATCTTATTTTCATAGACTGATGAAACTTGGTCTCCTCTGGAGTGCCTAGGGAGAAATGCTAAGACCAGTATAACTTTTTTCTCCTTCCCCTGTTCCAGTTTTTGGGTGCAGTGTAGAAATGCATTGATTCTATAAGCATTTTAATGCATACACAGACACATACGCTTTGATCAGATCTTCCCAATGCCCTAAACAGAATTCACTGTACAGGAAGGAATCGGCAGGTTCTTACAAACTACCTAATTCTGTCATATCAAAAATAAATAAATATACTTTAAAATATGTAAAAAAACCCTAAAAGTTTCTGAAATATGCTTACATAGATAGATGGTCTCCACTTGGTATACCAAACTTAACAATAATGCTTGTCATAACTGAGGGACCCTTCTCTTGTGTGCTCCAAAATTTACTTGCATGCTTCTGCTTATACAATTACCATTTCTTTATCGCCCTTCTTTGATAAATGTACAGTTTTCCTATAATGATCTCTATCATGTGGTTGATATTTAGGAGATTATATATTAATTTACTTAGCCATGATGACTGTAATTTCCAAAGTAACAAAATTATACCCTGCATTATTAGCATTTTAAATTTCATTGAGGACTTACATGGTGCTGTCACCGAGTTCTTCATAGAGATTATTGGCAGGAATGCTTGCTGACTTGCCAGCTGGTAGGGCCATCTGGATACGAGCTGTCTTTGCACATTCAGCTTGTCTCCTTCGGTGAATTGCATGGAGAAGAAGTGAAGAGATTTGAAGAGAATTAAAGAGTCTTTCTAACAAGCCCACATTGGTAAAAATAGCCGTGTGAAGAGTATTCATTAGAGCTTTTCACCTGGTAATTGATAGTAATGCTAAGCATTTGAATATATTGCAAACAGAATAAAATTTGGCTCCTTGATGCAGATATATTCAGATCTGTTACAATGGAATATTGTAACAGTATTCTTGTGCATGCTTGGCTAGAAAGTTCTGGAAAAGCTGAGTTATAAACTCCAGTTCTCTAAAATTAAGAACTGGGATGCCTAATTGAATGTGAATTATACCTACCATTTTCTTAATACCTATGCCAAAGGAAGATTAAAAACAACAACAAACCCACACACGTTGGGATTATAGAGTAGAGAAAACTAGATTATCTCAAGAGTTACTACTGAATTAACAGATTCATCTGTATTAGGGTATTATTCTGGGATTTTGAATCAATGTGATTATACAATTAGACTGTATTTTCCTCTTTGCCTCCCCAGTCAGATTCTATCTTTCATATAAAATGACCTTTCTTAACTCACACAAAGACCTGGTTTCAAGCACATTTTCAATGTAAAGTTTATCTAACAGAAATTCACTTATACATTTTACAATCTGGACAATCTCAATATTATAATTCAGTAATGTTTTTTCTGTAGAACTAAATTGCATTAGATATTAAAAGCTGTAAGGGGATGCATCCCCAAGGTGAATGCTTTGCCTTTGGTGGGGTGGCAAAAAAATCTAAGATGTTCTTAACATACTTTTAATGTCCTAAGCCTTTTCTGGAAAAGCATCATACTTTTCAGTCATTATGTATTATTCTACTGATGGACACTTCCTCCTCCCTCTTGAAATCATTGTACCAGAAGCAAAAGCTAAACTTTTGCATACTCATACACAAGGCAAATGAAGTTTAAAAATAAATACTTACTCTTTAAATCTGTTTTGTAATGCAGAATGGTAAAACAGAAATAAAAGAGAATAAACAGTGAGTTTCATGTAGAAAAAATAATTCAGAAAATGCTTATAAACTTCATACACTATGGCAGTCCATTTCCAGGGCTGAATCTTCAATCCTTAACTGGTTGGACTAACCAACTGCATATATTTTAATAAATTAATAAGGTATATTTGATTAGGTAACACCTACTCAAAGTAATTATTTAGTTACAATTAATTTTTTGATAAGTAGTTACCAAACACCATCTTACAAAAAGCCTTCCTTCCTTTGAAAGAGCCACAGAATAATACCTCTTCTAACAGCAAACTAAAACGGAGGGCGGATATTTTATTAAAAACATGGATTTATGCAGATTTAATGTTAAAGCTAACATGAACTAACTCTTAATAAGAGGACAACATGATAGGTTGTTGCGAATTAAAACAAAACTTAGATAATTGGGGGAGGGGGGAATCCTTCCTTCTGATGGACATATACCAGATTTTTTGCATTACCACTATGGCCAGAAATAAACCTTAATCCCACAGGATTAAATAGTCTGGCCTCAGGGATTCAATAGAGTGGTCACATGCTTTTGCCTGCCTGCCTGCCTGTCTTAGTATTTTACCCTGCTCAGTAACGGCTATTCACTGCAATCCTTTATCTTCCATTTGAAAGTATTCTCTGTGAACAAGACCTTGAAGTTGCCTCTCAGCTGCAGACTGAGCAGAAGCCACCAGATCATATATTCTTGGCAGCGATGAGATATACTATAGTTTTATTAAAATGTCCACACCTACTTATACGTTCATCCTTTATTCAGATTGTAATACTGTGCAGCAGGTGTGAAAATGAAGTACCAATTAGTGAAAGGACTCCCACAGTTACAACATACTTTTATATCAACTAATACAATTGTATTACTATTTCTATTTAGTGGTACCTTTGAAATTTCAGTATCCTACACAAAAGAAAATAATTATGAGCTAAAGATTAATGGACTAATAAAGGGCAAGTATTATAATCCATATTCATAATATTCATCATAGACACAAAAGGCAGATATCCCATTATTTTTAAATTTCTGTACTAGTTTCTGTTTAATTTAAAATCAGGAGGAAAAAATGCAAAGGCACGGATTTGTATACAATTTGTATGTGCTACATTTGTATACATGGAGATATAATGAGCCGAGTCAGGTCGGGGCTTGTCAAAACCCTTACCTCATATTGGAAATTCAGCATGGGATGAAAACAGTTCTCTTCAGGCTCAACTGATTACATGCTGGGTTGCAAGTATTGCTAGTGAGCAAGCTATGTGTAGCGGGCCTCTTTATTGTCCGTCTTTCCAGGACAGGTATCTGCTAGGCTACAGCTCCATAGAGACATGGATGAACTTGGCTAGGAACTAAATCTTTACTGTTACATCAGAACAGCAGTCATAACAAATGGTTAACAGTTTCTAGTAGGTGGGAGTTCAGAGTTCATACACAGACATACTTCAAATCCTGCTCATGCTTTTGCGGCGTTTCTTACATGGAATTGCTCTCCTTTTCTCACACTGCCGTGTCTCATTCACTGGAGATAGTTGCATGTTTACATTCTTTGCATTCTGTTCTTGCGACTAGATATTTCCCAAAAGTTAGGTTGGGATAGTATCTTTTTGCTAACAGAGCCCTAATATTTATGCCTTTAGAAGCAAAACGTGTGAAAAAAGCCATAATAAGGAAGAGATGAAAGTGGAGGGAAATTTGCCTCGAATATGCTTTGAATCAACCAAGGAGTTGCAGCCCATTGAAATAAGTGAATTTCAGCAATGAAAATCATGGTTGCATACCATACTGAACAAAGTATTTCAAGAACCCTTCTGAGATTTGAAAAAAGGTAACAGGTAGTCTTTGACTAACATCCATTTGTTCAGTCACCATTCAAATTTGTGACAGTGCTGAACAATGGAACTTATGATAGGTCCTCGGAGTTCTGGACATTGCAGTGTCCTCGCAGTGACGTGATTGCTATCCAGGTATTTGACACCCAGCTCATGATTATAATGTCACAATGAGCTGCAGTCACATGATTGCAACTTCCGATGTTCCCTGCTGGCTTTCCACAAGCAAAGTCAATGGGGAAGTTGCCAAGAAATCGGTAGTCTTCACTTAATGACGGCAACTGGGATTACCGGAACTGCCATCGCTAAGCAGCACAGATACACGATGTTGTGCTTTATGACCCCATAATTTAGTGACAGCAATTCCATTTCTAATTTCCGTCATAAACAGAGGACTACCAGAGTTACTCGTTGAGATGGGCAGCTATGGAAATCAAATCAATCAATCAATCAATCAATCAATCAATCAATCAATCAATAAGGAACAGGGAAAAACAGTAATATCTGATTATAATGAATGTGAATAATTGATGCTCCCTGAAAAGAACCACAACTTAAAACAGGAGTTGGCACCTAGAAAGGTGTTCTATCTCACACAATGAGTCAGGCTGGCAATTACTTTTTTAATTACCCCACATCCCTCAAGATCTCATGAGAATCAGTAATCTCATCCCTGAGATTGTATGTGATCTCAAATGAGAATACAAGAATCATAGGTGAATCTGTGTGAGGACACCCAACATCTCAGAGAAGGCAGCCATTTAAAAAAAATATTTCATTTTTAAAATGTTTTGTGGGGTTTGTGGGAGTCAGCAGTGAGGGCCTTTGACTTCCATTGTCGCTACATAATGAGTGCTATGCAAGCTACGGTAAAGGGCGCTTGTATACTTACTGTCTATAGCTGACCATGACTATTAAAATAGCAGGCATGCAGCAGAGGATGATGATGACAGCCAGAGCCAGCAAAGCTCCTTCTGTGTAGCCCACAGCTTGTGCCTGCTTTTTGACATTGGCCACCACATCTGGAGTTCGGATCTCCAAAATACGGCCGCCTTGCCCAAGGTATGGCTGAAATTCTTTGTTGATATCCAGAAGCTTACCATCCAGAAATCTTCAGTGTTAAGAAAACAAAGCAAGAGAACAAAGCAAGATCAAGCTAACCTCTATTCTTTCTTAAAGGCTGAATCAATATTAGAAAGTTTTAATAGTCTGCTCCCCTCCCCAACTTCTTCTTTCCCCACCATGGTTCCTTGCGAAGACTTCATCCCCTTTTTTGCCTTCTCTGTGGTTTCTTTGATCTCATTTTCATTCTAATTGACTGACAGCAGTTGTGTTGTTTATGGTGTCCCACCTGTGATGACAGACACAGCTTCATAACAAAAGCACACTGGTCATCAGAAATGGCAGTGAAGAGGATGGGTAATTTTTAAAAGCCAGGAACCAGAGAACAGAAGAGTGAAAAATAGTTCTGAAACAAACCTGTTAGAATCATGATGTTGAAAATGTGAAAAGTGATTATATTGCTTGAGAGCAAAATTACTCCAACTGTTCAAAGACCAGGTGACAAACCATGAATACAATAAAAAGAGCTAAGCTGGTGGCCTGTTGCAACTGGGCTCTGTGTTACATGAGTCAAATAACTAGTGTCCATTAAACTGAACAATTCAGGTGTAATGAAAAGTGAAAGCCTTCTCTTACATAATGCATGCGTGTATTAAATGCCATTTATACTAATTAAGAATGTGAAGTGTCCTTCAGGGAGTTGTAACACTGTGTCTTTAAAATTTTATAAGCAATTTATCTACAAATCTTTATTTCTAGAGTTTTTATAGTTCATCTATGCTTATTATGCTCCAGATGAAACATGACAGAAACTACAAAACGAGATGAGGGCTTTTTAAATTTATTTTTAGGAAGCCAGGATGTCTCAGAAGCGATCCCTCTTTTTTTGTCCTCATGAAGGATAATAGATAGCACAAGCATTTGTGATCTCTAATAGTACCTTTCTCCTAGTACTCAGAATGGAAAAACATGCAGGTCACAGTGTGGGTGGTTTTAGCAAATAACTTCATACACAGGCATTCTGAATATCCACAACTGCATTTTGATCCTGAATGCCACAAGACATTCAAATACAAAGAATAAAAACATACAGAAATCAATGGAATTTCCCAGTAAGGTTACCTGAAGACCTGGCCAAAAACACTAGACCAAATAATGAAGGTCAGGTCTTAACCGTTTTTATTAATGGGTTAAGCAACCATCACCCAATATGTCATGACTGTAACCAGTTTTCCCTAAGATGCTGCCCTCATCATGATCCATAATGGAGACTGCTAGGTTAAGAGAGCTATAGGCTCTTGAGATACCAAAACAGCTGACCATCTTTATAAATTAGAGTTGCTAGATAGGTGAGAAGGTGCAATGAAGATCTGAGGCTTCTTTTCTGAGTTCAACTTGGAGAAAGAAACCACTATGTAGGATCTGGATTAGGGCCCAGAATGGAGTGGAGGTCAAGAATGATAAAAAAAAAAAAAAGACTCAGTTTCTCCCTAACAATTGTAGCACTGTTTTCAATCAGCAGCTTAAATCAACACACCTATTCAGTGGAACGGGTTGGAGAGATTCCTTTCCCATGGACATTTCCTGAAAAGATTTTTCCTTGCCTTATTGGTCAGCAAAAATGTCTTATGGGGAGGGGGATAATCTGGATTCCCCTCGTCTTGGCAGCAAGGGCCAAGTTGGTGCCATGGGAGCTGTGCCCACACACATTTTTTTTTTTTTTAAAAGGCAGAGCTTTGATTGCATTGTAGTGGCTGCCATCTTGAGTTCTGCATCTTTCATAAAGTATAATCTTTATATTTCTCTTTACTCTCACATACCACATTTTGGCAAACCTGAGCAAAAGGACCACGTTAAAAACAAAACAGAACAAAACAAAACATTGTGATTTCTACTGTTGATTTACAGGCAAATAATAGTTTGGGTAAAGTATGTGTAGCTTAAAATCAGAAATTATAGGAAAAAAAGGAGCACATGAAAAGAAGTGAAAATATGGAAATCCAAATCTCACTCATATGCCCTCTAACTTTTTTAGTGTTCAGGTGGCTCCAAGTCACTGCAATATTCCACACGCTGCATTATTTGCAGTCTTATTTTTACTGAACCAGTAATTTTGTTGGACAAACTAAATATGTGCTCACTGAATAGGTGGAATATTAGCTGATTTCAGCTAAGACTATTTTCTGAGGAAAGGTGATTTGTACAGAGACAGGATAAAAAATCTCCCTCAAGAAGGCAGCTGCAACACACACAAAAAGGAAGGGCTTCAGTCATGCAGTTGCAAAACCTGCATTGTCAATTTCATACCTTCATTGGTGACCACAAAGACACTGTGGTGTAACCACTAAGTCTTGACCGGGTAGGTTTCATATCTAAAAAGTAGGATATGGTACACTCTAAACTTGAGAATTATTATGGTTATTTTATAAGGGGGACAGAAAGGTTTCCTAAAACCATATAACGTGGTAGCGGTGGGAATGAACATCACCGTTCATTCCCACCACTACCACACCCAAAGTCAAACGGCTTTGGAATTAGTTATTACTGTGAGAGGAAGTTTTAAAAAATCTGAGAAAAAATATATCTTAACACTATAGAGTCTCCCATCACAGATCTGTGCTTTGTCTTGTTTTGACAAAAGACTTTCATATTTGATTAAACTTTGGGAATAGTCAAAACACTATGGGCATTTTATTATTCCCAAATTCTCCTTTCTGTTAGGACACCATTCCTTGAAAGCAAGTCAAGGGATCAGAACATCCTGAGGGACATAGAAGAGGTAGCTGAAAAATCTGGTTTGTTTTTCCAAAGTATACTTTGAACATTATCCTGTAAGTGTATGGTGGGGCAGAAGGGTGACTGAGACCCTTTCAAGGCTTCTCTTGCAGGATGAAATAAAGTAAAGTACCAGCTGGAGTTGCTTTTGAAATTCGGAAATACATTTGAGCTTATTGGAACTAAACCGCTGGAGATTCCCTGCCAAGCCTAAAATATGTTAATGTTTCAGACTGAAACTTTCTCTTCATTTCTCTTCTTCACTTTGCTAAACTGACACTCCTTCACCTCTACCCCAAGGCCAAAAAAGTATTCCCTAGCCTTTTGATGCTATGATTTTTTTAAAGCTTTGGAAGAGGAACAATAAGGCTGGTTGTACAAGCTAAAGAAAAATGTAATTAGGTTGCCTCTAAGCCTGTGTTAATTAGTAGCTGCTCATTTTTTAAAAATACACCCTTTCTTCATTTTTCATATTTTCATCTTCTTTAGTACCAAGACTGTAGATTAAACAAAGATTCAGTAGTTCAAAGTTATACCAGTACACAGGAGAAAATTAAACCTATTTTCTAATATACCATATCTCAAAAATATCCATTAAATAAGTCTTGAATTAATGAAGGTCATGATGGTTGGTTGTTATATGAATTAGTTCCTCACTACTTTAATTCTCCTTTTTCTGCTCAGCCTTTTGTTTATTTATTTGCATTATTCTTTATTAAGACAATACGACTAAAGGCAGACATTATATCTATATTGTACTGGAAAAACAGATCATAACCACATCAAACAAATAAACAGTTTATTTTTGCTATTTGGCTGTCAATCCCATGAATTTCTTATTTATATAAAATGTGAGGAAAAAGGGACAGGATCAAGCTCATATAAATAATATCACTGTCTTGTTTGAAACAAAAATATTTCATTCCACAAACATTCATATACAGAATATGTATGTGTGTGTGTGTGTGTGTGTGTGTGTGTGTGTGTG